GAGAGTGGTGGGTCTCCTGGCGTATACTTATGGGTCATCTGATGTGCAGTGGTGGATATCACATGGTGTGCAATAGTGGCTTCTCCTGTCATATAGTGGTGGCCCTTCTGTCATATAGTAGTGGACCCTTGTTGGATAGTGGTGCTTCCCCTGTCATATAGTGGTGGTCCTCTGTTGTACAGTGGTGGCCCTCCTGTCATATAGTGGTGTCCCTCTTGTCATATAGTGGTGACCCTCTGTTAGATATTGGTGGCTTTCCTGTCATATTGTGGTGGCCCTCTGTTGTACAGTGGTGGCCCTCTTGTCATATATTGGTGGCCCTCTGTTATACAATTCTGGCCCTCCTGTTATATAGTAGTTGCCCTCTGTTGGACAGTGATGGCTTTCCTGTCATATAGAGGTGACCCTCTGTTGGATAATGGCGTCCCTCCTGTCATATAGAGGTGGCACTCTGTTGGATAGTGATGGTCCTCTGTTGGACAGTGGTGGCTCTCCTGTCATTTAGTGGTAGCCCTCTGTTGAATAGTGGTGGCCCTCCTGTCATATAGTGGTAACCCTCTGTTGTACAGTGGTGGCCCTTCTGCCATATAGTGGTGGTCCTCTGTTGGATAGTGGGTGGCCCTCCTGTCATATAGTAGTGACCCTCTTGTTGTATAGTGGTGGGCCTTCTGCCATATAGTGGTGGCCCTCCTGTCACATAGTGGTGGCCCTCCTGTCACATAGTGGTGGCCCTCCTGTCATATAGTGGTGTGGCCCTCCTGTCACATAGTGGTGTCCCTCCTGTCATATAGTAGTGACCCTCTGTTGGATAGTGGTGGCCCCCCTGTCATATAGTGGTGGCCCTTCTGTCATATAGTGGTGGCCCTCCTGTCACATAGTGGTGTCCCTCCTGTCATATAGTAGTGACCCTCTGTTGGATAGTGGTGGCCCTCCTGTCATATAGTAGTGACCCTCTTGTTGTATAGTGGTGGGCCTTCTGCCATATAGTGGTGGCCCTCCTGTCACATAGTGGTGGCCCTCCTGTCATATAGTGGTGGCCCTTCTGTCATATAGTGGTGGCCCTCCTGTCACATAGTGGTGTCCCTCCTGTCATATAGTGGTGGCCCTCCTGTCATATAGTGGTGGCCCTCCTGTCATATAGTGGTGGCCCTCCTGTCATATAGTGGTGGCCCTCTTGTACAGTGGTAGTTCTCTTGGCTTTCATTCTATGGTTCTGTTTCCCAGATGTATTGTACTAGGACTGCTTTAATACACTGAATATCTACTAAATTCGTCGGTTTCGTTTTACCCCCCCCCCCCCCCCCATATTCCTGGTATCCCCTCCTCCAGATATATAAATATACTCCCACAGACCCTTTATATGTAAAGACGGACCTGCTGCCAATGTTGTGAATACGGCTGGAGAACCTTACCCTCTCCTTATGATGTCCCCAGCAGACCCCCCCCCCCCCCCCCCCCGAACCTCTGTGAAGTGCCCCCAGGGGTACAATTAGCACTTGTTGAAGAATTCAGCTCCTGGCCGGCTAATATGACCTATTTAACCGTGATTTGTTTTCCCTCTCTTCCCAAAGTCCGCGGAAGTGGTGAGGAAATGAAATTACAGTCAGTGATGATTACAATTGCTAGCGTGTTATCAGCGGCGCGGCCGTTAGCGTGATGCTTTATTACAGGCGGTATTAGTGCCGGAGAGTATATTAGGATTATTACTCCCCGCCGTGCCGAGTACTCCGACTCCCAGCCGCTCGCCCGTCACTTTGAGTTCCATTCCATGGAGTAAAGAATTGCCGGATGTCGCCGCTCTCCGGAGGAGCCGAACCCCCCAATTCTCGCAGGTTTCCCGTCTTTTCCCTAATTGCCGAAATCACCGACAACAGCGAAAGGCGCCTTGCGCTAATGTAAAGGTTTTCTGCCTAAATTCTGCGGTGTGACCCCCCCCCCCCGACACGCCTTTTGTAGCATCTGATTAGGAACGCGCGGATTGCGAGGGCGGCCATACACCGCCACCGATCGTTAGAAGGAAATTGGACGTTTGCATCCTACAATGGATGGCGCTGAAACTTCTAACGATTTCCCTTTTGTGGAGATTTGTTTCTTGTAGATGGTCTCCAAATATCTGCACAGAGCCAGGCGCAGGCCACGGTCTTCCAAGCAGCAGAGGATGAGGATGATGAAGAGGGTGGAAATGGTCGCTCAGCACTCACCTGTTCCGCTGTGTTGCTCTTCCACGTTGTCCCAGCATGTGGGGCACAAAATGGTGGAGTTCCTTCCTAAAAACAGGTATGTGAGTACCATCCATGGGTGCAATGTGTGCATTTCACATGGGCCCTGAGGGGGATGGGGCCCCCTGTGTCCTCACACATTGCAGCCATGGAGGAGCTGATATTCCCCTTCCCTATGCCACTCCAATCCTTTTCCTGTACTGTGCAGCACTGATCCCTGGCACCCCTCCCTGCAGTGCAGCTGCCAGTGTCCCCTCTCCCCCCTCCCACCAGCTTCAGCTACTGCAGGGGAGAGGAGCCTCTGGGGGAATTAAACTGTCAAAAGATATTCCCCCTCCTCATGCTACTTTGGCACCCCGTCCTGTACCGCCCCCTCCCCCCCCCAGTGCAGCACTGATCCCTGGCACCCCCTCCCTGCAGCACTGCTGTCCCTCCTCCCCCTCCCACCAGATTCAGCTACTGCAGGGGAGGGGAGCCTCTGGGGGAATCAAACTGTCAAAAGATATTCCCCCTCCTCATGCCGCTCTGACCCCGTTCTGTACTGTCCTCCCCCCAGTGCAGCACTGATCCCTGGCACCCCCTCCCTGCAGCACTGCTGGCCGGTGTCCCTCCTCCCCCTCCCACCAGATTCAGCTACTGCAGGGGAGGGGAGCCTCTGGAGGAATCAAACTGTCAAAAGATATTCCCCGTCCTCATGCCACTCTGACCCCCCCCCCATCCTGTACAGCCCCCCCCCCAGTGCAACATTAATCCCGAGTGCCCCGTCCTGTAGGGCTGTCGGCCAGCTTCCCCTCCTCCCCCTATCACCTCCAGGATAGGAGATCAAGCAACATTTAGGATGAGCGATTGGTGTCAGGATGGAGAGAACTTGGGGGGGGGGGGGGGGGGGGGGGGGGGGGTGGGGTTGTGGGGGGGGGGGGGGGTGGGGAGGGGGGGTGCTGGGGGGGGGTGGCGGGGGGGGGGATGGGGGCTTGTAAATATGTCATGTTTACCAGCCCTTCCTGAATGAACACAGTGGGTGATCGGTACTGATCACTCTTGTGTTCATTCATCACCGAAGCACAGTAAACAGTGTTTTACTATGGTTTAGTTTGTAAATGAATAGGAGCCTCTCTATAGAGCACTTCTATTCATTCATATGCAGTGCAGCCGAGTCTGCAGATAAAGGGACCAAAGGGACTAAGGACTCTGTCATCTCTTTATCAATAAAGAGACATCAGGTGTCTATTTAGACCCCTGATGTTTCACCAAAGGAAACAGTAAAAAAAAAAAACACCCAAAAAAAACAGTAAAAAAAAATTAAAGCCAAAAAACATAGTAAGGCCTTTTTTACACAGGATATACAACAGCATACACCCAGGCTCAGGGGCGGACTGACAACTCATAGGGCCCCCGGGCAATAGGGGGATCATTGGGCCCCTGTGTCCTCACCCACACTCAAACCACACCCAAAAAAAGCCTATGAAAGGTACCAGGGGCATCTCATGGGGCCCCCTACTGACCCCAGGCCCTCGGGCAGTGCCCGAGTTCCCAAATGGTCAGTCATCCCCTGCCCAGGCTGTATTTATCCTCACAGGGATGCTCAGGTGTTCCGTGCACCCCTGTGCAGGCAATCCCGGTGCTGTCTATTGGGAAGCAGGGGCTGCACGGACACAGCTGCTGCTCTCGATTTGACACCCGTGTGGGTGCGGGTACATGGGCCTGAACTCACACTGTATGCCTTCGAGCTGTGTACCGGCATGCATACAGATGTCAGATTCAGAGCAGCGACTGTGTTCATGCACCAGCTGCATCCCAAGTGACATGAATGGGATTGCCTGCACAGGGATGCACAGAACACCTCTGCACCCCCCCGTGCCCATACACACAGCCCTCACATGGGTGTACACTTTAGTACGGCACATGTGAACGAGGCCTTAGAAGGAATGTAACAGGAATTTTGTAAGTTATGTTGTGTTTATGTGTGCTAATAATGATTTTAGTGTATTTTTAGTGAAAACAGTGATTTGATAAATATTTGTGCAACAATTGCGGGCCGAAAAAAAAAAAATCAACTATTGCCCACATTGTATTGAGGATCAGTGTGTACTCCAGTACAATCCCCCTAGGTCAGTCTGACTGACCTGGGGGGATTGTACTGGGGGACTGACTGAACTGGGGGAGGGGGATTATACTGGGGGACCGACTGACCTGGGGGGGGGATTATACTGGGGGACCGACTGACCTGGGGGGATTACACCGGGGAATATATTGACCTTAGGGGGGAATTGTACTGAGGGACAGACTGACCTGAGGTAGGGGCAATATAGTGGGGGACAGACTGACCTGGGAGGATTATACTGGGGGGACAAATTGACTTTGGGGGGATTGTACTGGGGAACATATTGACCATAGGGTGAATTGTACTGGGGGACATACTGACCTGGGGGAGGGGGATTATACTTGGGGAGAGACTGACTGACCTAAGGGGAGTATATGGGGGGACAGAATGTCCTTGGGGGGGATTGTACTGGGAAAGATATTGACCTTAGGTGGGAATTGTACTGGGGGACAGACTGACCTGAGGGAGGGGCATTATAGTGGGGGACAGACTGACCTGAGGGTATTATACTGGGGGGACAATTTGACTTTGGGGGGATTGTACTGGGAAAGATATTGACCTTAGGGGGGAAATGTACTGGGGGACAGACTGACCTGGGGGAAGGGGATTATACTTTGTGGACAAACTGACCTGGGGGGGAATATACTGGGGGACAGATTGCCCTTGGGGGGATTGTACTTGGGAACAGGGGCGGACTGACCATTTGGAAACTCGGGCACTGCCCGAGGGCCCGGGGTCTGTAGGGGGCCCCATGAGATGCCCTGGTACCTTTTTCATATGCTTTTTTGAGTTTGGGCAAGGACACAGGGGCCCCATGATCCCCTATTGCTCGGGGGCCCCATGATTTGTCAGTCCGCCCCTGCTTGGGAACATGTTGACCTTAGGTGGGAATTGTACTGGGGGATAGACTGACCTGAGGGATTATAGTAGGGAACAGTCTGACCTGGGGGACAAATTGCCTTTGGGGGGGATTGCACTGGGGGACAAATTGACTTTGGGGGGGGATTGTACTGATGGACAAATCCCCTGGGAACACCAGTTCTACAGCATGTGTATCTGCAGGTCAGGGGTTCTCAGTAAAACCCACTGCAGTTTTAGAAGATCTCCCCCTATATGTCTATTAACGTATACTACAAGCAAGTAAATATTTGGCATTTTTCACATTAAAGTAATACTTTTCCATAGAGGGATCACTTCAATATGGTTAGCCAGAGAGGATCTCTTTGACGTAGTTGACCGGAGAGGGATCACTTTGACGTAGTTGACCGGAGAGGGATCACTTTGACGTAGTTGACCGGAGAGGGATCACTTTGACATAGCTGGCCAGAGAGGGATCCCTTTGACATAGTTGGCAAGAGAAGGATCCCTTTGACATAGTTGGCCAGAGAGGGATCCCTTTAACATAGTTGGCCAGAGAGGGATCATTTTGACATAGTTGGCCAGAGAGGGATCCCTTTGACATAGTTGGCCAGAGAGGGATCCCTTTGACATAGTTGGCCAGAGAGGGATCCCTTTGACATAGTTGGCCAGAGAGGGATCCCTTTGACATAGTTGGCCAGAGAGGGATACCTTTAACATAGTTGGCCAGAGAGGGATCCCTTTGACATAGTTGGCCAGAGAGGGATCCCTTTGACATAGTTGGCCAGAGAAGGATCCCTTTGACATAGTTGGCCAGAAAGGGATCCCTTTGACATAGTTGGCCAGAGAGGGATCCCTTTGACATAGTTGGCCAGAGAGGGATACCTTTAACATAGTTGGCCAGAGAGGGATCACTTTGACATAGTTGGCCAGAGAGGGATCCCTTTGACATAGTAGGCCAGAGAGGGATCCCTTTGACATAGTTGGCCAGAGAGGGATCCCTTTGACATAGTTGGCCAGAGAAGGATCCCTTTGACATAGTTGGCCAGAAAGGGTTAGCTTTGACATAGTTGGCAAGAGAAGGATCCCTTTGACATAGTTGGCCAGAGAGGGATCACTTTGACATAGTTGGCCAGAGAGGGATCCCTTTGACATAGTTGGCCAGAGAGGGATCCCTTTGACATAGTTGGCCAGAGAGGGATGCCTTTGACATAGTTGGCCAGAGAGGGATCCCTTTGACATAGTTGGCCAGAGAGGGATCTCTTTGACATAGTTGGCCAGAGAGGGATCCTTTAACATAGTTGGCCAAGAGAGGGATCACTTTGACATAGTTGGCCAGAGAGGGATCCCTTTGACATAGTTGGCCAGAGAGGGATCCCTTTGACATAGTTGGCCAGAGAGGGATCCCTTTGACATAGTTGGCCAGAGAAGGATCCCTTTGACATAGTTGGCCAGAGAGGGATCCCTTTGACATAGTTGGCCAGAGAGGGATCCCTTTGACATAGTTGGCCAGAGAGGGATCCCTTTGACATAGTTGGCCAGAGAGGGGATCCCTTTGACATAGTTGGCCAGAGAGGGATCCCTTTGACATAGTTGGCCAGAGAGGGATCCCTTTGACATAGTTGGCCAGAGAGGGATCCCTTTGACATAGTTGGCCAGAGAGGGATCCCTTTGACATAGTTGGCCAGAGAGAGGATGCCTTTGACATAGTTGGCCAGAGAGGGATCCTTTTGACATAGTTGGCCAGAGAGGGATCCCTTTGACATAGTTGGCCAGAGAGGGATCCCTTTGACATAGTTGGCCAGAGAGGGATCTCTTTGACATAGTTGGCCAGAGAAGGATCCCTTTGACATAGTTGGCCAGAGAAGGATGCCTTTGACATAGTTGGCCAGAGAGGGATCTCTTTGACATAGTTGGCCAGAGAGGGATCTCTTTGACATAGTTGGTCAGCTTGAACATGTATTGCAATAGTCCTCCTCTATATGCAAAGGAAGTCTTCTCCGCTCCATTCTTGCACAGCCAACACTTTCACCAGTTTAATGGGAAGTGTTAAGTTTGCCTTTTTGAGGCCCAAACTTTTAAAAGCCCCAAATACTCTGAACCAAGCATGGAATTACCGGAACATACATACCAACAACTGGCACTTCTGGTGCAAAATACAAGAACAACGCATACAACCAAAACATGCAATGAGAAATAGAAAGGTTCATTAGCATACAGTATGATTTGGCAATATGCAGGATGAGGCTGAATGAATTTGTCAATTGCTCATTAGCAGTAATTTGCATAAATTACAGCCATGGCAATGATACGTTTATAATTACCCGGGAATTTATACTAATGTTGTCTTGCATCATATGGGAGAACATTGAAGGTTTCCATTTCTCCTCTTCAGGGGCTGTGCGTGTGTTGGCCAGGGAACGTCCTACTTCCCATCCAGGACCATATGGACAAGCCTGCAAAATGTGAGTCTGAGGACGGCCAACATCCAAAGGCTAAACAAATCTATACATACAAAGTCATTTTCAAATCAGCAGCTCTCGTTAAAATAATCCCTAGTGTTTAGTTGGCCAGAGAGGGATCCCTTTGACATAGTTGGCCAGAGAGGGATCCCTTTGACATAGTTGGCCAGAGAGGGATCCCTTTGACATAGTTGGCCAGAGAGGGATCACTGACATAGTTGGCCAGAGAGGGATCACTTTGATATAGCTGGCCAGAGAGGGATCCCTTTGACATAGTTGGCCAGAGAGGGATCCCTTTGACATAGTTGGCCAGAGAGGGATCACTGACATAGTTGGCCAGAGAGGGATCACTTTGACATAGTTGGCCAGAGAGGGATAACTTTGATAGAGTTGGCCAGAGAGGGATCACTTTGACATAGTTGGCCAGAGAGGGATCACTTTGACATAGTTGGCCAGAGAGGGATCCCTTTGGCATAGTTGGCCAGAGAGGGATCCATTTGACATAGTTGGCCAGAGAGAGGGATCCCTTTGACATAGTTGGCCAGAAAGGGATCCCTTTGACATAGTTGGCCAGAGAGGGATCCCTTTGACATAGTTGGCCAGAGAGGGATCACTTTGACATAGTTGGCCAAGAGGGATCCCTTTGACATAGTTTGGCCAGAGAGGGATCCCTTTGACATAGTTGGCCAGAGAGGGATCTCTTTGACATAGTTGTCCAGAGAAGGATCGCTGACATAGTTGGCCAGAGAGGGATCACTTTGACATAGTTGGCCAGAGAGGGATCCCTTTGACATAGTTGGCCAGAGAGGGATCCCTTTGACATAGTTGGCCAAAGAGGGATCCTTTTGACATAGCTGGCCAGAGAGGGATCCCTTTGACATAGTTAGCCAGAGAGGGATCCCTTTGACATAGTTGGACAGAGAGGAATCACTTTGACATAGTTGGCCAGAGAGGGATCCCTGTGACATAGTTGGCCAGAGAGGGATCCCTTTGACATAGTTGGCCAAAGAGGGATCCCTTTGACATAGCTGGCCAGAGAGGGATCCCTTTGACATAGTTAGCCAGAGATGGATCCCTTTGACATAGTTGGACAGAGAGGAATCACTTTGACATAGTTGGCCAGAGAGGGATCCCTGTGACATAGTTGGCAAGAGAGGGATCCCTTTGATATAGTTGACCAGAGAGGGATCCCTTTGACATAGTTGGCCAGAGAGGGATCTCTTTGACATAGTTGTCCAGAGAGGGATCACTGACATAGTTTTGCCAGAGAGGGATCCCTTTGACATAGTTGGCCAGAGAGGGATCCCTTTGACATAGTTAGCCAGAGAGGGATCCCTTTGACATAGTTGGCCAAAGAGGGATCCCTTTGACATAGCTGGCCAGAGAGGGATCCCTTTGACATAGTTAGCCAAGTTAGCCAGAGAGGGATCCCTTTGACATAGTTGGCCAGAGAGGGATCCCTTTGACATAGCTGACCAGAGAGGGATCCCTTTGACATAGTTAGCCAGAGAGGGATCCCTTTGACATAGTTGGACAGAGAGGATCACTTTGACATAGTTGGCCAGAGAGGGATCCCTGTGACATAGTTGGCCAGAGAGGGATCCCTTTGACATAGTTGGCCAGAGAGGGATCCCTTTGTTATAGTTGGCCAGAGAGGGATCCCTTTGACATAGTTGGCCAGAAGAGGGATCCCTTTGACATAGTTGGCCAGAGAGGGATCCCTTTGACATAGTTGGCCAGAGAGGGATCCCTTTGACATAGTTGGCCAGAGAGGGATCCCTTTGACATAGTTGGCCAGAGAGGGATCCTGACATAGTTGGCCAGAGAGGGATCACTTTGACATAGCTGGCCAGAGAGGGATCCTCTTTGACATAGTTGGCCAGAGAGGATCCCTTTGACATAGTTTGTCCAGAGAAGGATCGCTGACATAGTTTGCCAGAGAGGGATCACTTTGACATAGTTGGCCAGAGAGGGATCCCTTTGACATAGTTGGCCAGAGAGGGATCCCTTTGACATAGTTGGCCAAAGAGGGATCCCTTTGACATAGCTGGCCAGAGAGGGATCCCTTTGACATAGTTAGCCAGAGAGGGATCCCTTTGACATAGTTGGACAGAGAGGAATCACTTTGACATAGTTGGCCAGAGAGGGATCCCTGTGACATAGTTGGCCAGAGAGGGATCCCTTTGACATAGCTGACCAGAGAGGGATCCCTTTGACATAGTTGGACAGAGAGGAATCACTTTGATATAGTTGGCCAGAGAGGGATCCCTGTGACATAGTTGGCCAGAGAGGGATCCCTTTGACATAGTTGGCCAGAGAGGGATCCCTGTGACATAGTTGGCAAGAGAGGAATCCCTTTGACATAGTTGGCCAGAGAGGGATCCCTTTGACATAATTGGCCAGAGAGGGATCCCTTTGACATAGTTGGACAGAGAGGAATCACTTTGACATAGTTGGCCAGAGAGGGATCCCTGTGACATAGTTGGCGAGAGAGGGGATCCCTTTGATAGAGTCGGTCAGCTTGAACATGTATTGCAATACATGAGAACCAAACGCCCAATCCTTATGGTGATCCTAACATGAAGGTACTTGTAGGCAGGTGCAGCTAGTTAGTCTGCCAATAGGTGGCTCTTGGGTGAGTTATTGCTCATAAATAAGTCAGGTTGGGAGGAGTCCTATGTGCAGTTGGGGCATGGGAGTCAGGGA